GGGGACATAGTGACCCACACAGCAGAGAGGTAAACACAGCTCTAGGCTGCTGGGTAGAGTGACGGACCGAGACTATGTACCAGGGGCTTCATACCCCACCCCAATGTGGCCCAGAATAAAGAGATGCCCAGGACTCACCCTATGTCTGAGCTGCAGCCAGGGAAGCAGATGCCTGCTCCTGGAAGTGGGCACACACCCCTCTCCAGCTTGGGACTGTCCGGTGAGCATCTCTGTGGTTGGGATAGTTCAGCTCCCTCCTCCCTCTGCTCTCTTCTTTCCAATGAGCTCATCTGTCTGGGGCTCCCCATCCCCCTTTGAAAGGATGTTTGGGCAGAACCTGGCAGAAAACAGAAGAGGAAGGGAGAACGGAGGAGGTGGCTGCCTACCTGTCTGTGCCCAGAGCCCCTAGAAAGTTACTCTAAGTGAGAGGAAAGGAAGGAGCCTCCCTGGGAGGAGGGTTCAGGAAGAGTCTATGTTTACACCAACTTCCTGATGCCAGGGGGGCTCTGGGGAGCCAGGGCGAGGCTGAAGTGGCCATGCAGTGTTCCTTACTAGACTGCTAAGCCACATGCCTGCCGCTTGGTTTGGTGCATGCTCTCCTGTTAACCCCCTCAGCACCTGCCCAACTTCACTAAAACGGAGACTGTGGCTGGGGGTCAGTGGGCACTCTGAGCTGGAACAGGGGATGGTGAGTAGAGAGGGACAGAGAACAGACCTAGGTGTGCTAGAAGGAGGATCCCCAACATTGGTCCAGGTAGTGTCCGTCCAATCCCGACCTGAGTAGCAGAGGATTTGCAGGCAGTTAATTCAATGCAGAGAATCTGGAGCCTGCGGTTTCACTGTTCTGAGACTGGGGCTCTGTTTACAAGAGGAGGGTAGGTGAGGTGCAGGGGTGACTCTTGGTGTTGATCGGAGGCTGAAGACGAGGTGGGGGTGTGGAAGAGTACTCTGCAGAGCCATTTCCTCTGGCTCCAGGAGCCTAGTCAGCGCCACCAAGCTGCCTGGTTACCTGCAATGCCCCGACAGGAGCGCGAGGGTTTCTGGGGGAGGAGGCGGGAGAGGGAGGCGGCGGGCAAGGGCAAGGGGGGAGTCAGAGGGGGAGGAGGTTCCCTGCCAGGTTCCTGCTACTTAGGAGGAACTCCTCTCAAAATAGCTCTGGAGACCTCATCCAGCTCTCTGCTTCCCTTCCCCCCTGCATGGGGTCTTGGTGGCTTGCTGAGAGCTGACAGGGGAAGGGGCCTTCCATCTTCCTGCCCTGGTCACCTGTAGAAAGTCAGTGCCTTCTGGTGTAACAGCAACTCTGGCAGCTGGAGCTCTGCCCCCATGAAAACCCACCCGACCTCTGACCCTACACTGACTCCCCTCTAAGCTGCCTCCCACTTAGAAAACAGCAATGCCATCTCCTTCGCCTCCCTCCCTCAGCCCTGCCCTCATCTAGCCCCCAAGAGGACAGGGGAGGAAGCAACCAGCTGCTTCTGTTGCCTGGTCTCAGAGAAGACTGTTGTGCTAACTGTGCCCTACCTGAATCCCCAAGGAAACCACCTCCTCCCTCTTAAATCTAGGCTCTGTCTCCACCAGCCTGAGACAGTTCTCTGGTAGATTGTTGGCAAGGGCCCAATCCACCTCTGCATTCCTGAAAACTTGCTCTTTAAGGTATTTCTGAGCCAGGCCACCCAGACTTGAGTGCATTACCCCACCCCCAGGAGTCAGGCCCCAGGAATAGGGGCTACAGCCACAGGACCTGTCCCCACACATCACTCCTGCAAAGTCTAGAAGACTTTTCAGCAGGAGCCAAGGTGCTTCACCCTCTGCCCTATCCAGGGGCTCTTGAGCTGGGTGAAGAGAGGCTCAATTCAGGAGTACTCATCAAGGGTTTTCCAAAGGAGGAAAGAGGGACTTCTGACCTTTGTCACCCTCTCCCTTGGCATCCTTAGGAGTAGCCTCTTAGCTAGATCAAGGAACTAGATTTCTGCTTTTTTGGTACTGGGGATCGAACCTAGGGGAGCTTAACCACGGAGCCACATCCCAGCCCTTATTTATTTATTTATTTATTTGAGACAGCGGCTCACTAAGTTGCTTAGGGAATCGCTAAATTGCTGAGCTGTCTTTGAACTCACAATCCTCCTATCTCAGCCTCCTGACCCGTTGGGATTACAGGCATGTGCCACCGTGCCTGGCTAATGGACTAGGTTTCTGAGAATTTTTGAGGAAAGTGCTCTATAAATTAAGAATCCTCTAGCCGCTAATGCATCTCCCAATCACTTTTCTTTGCCCAGCTGCAGAGCTTTTCTGGTGTTCTTTAGAAGAAAGTTGGGGGTGTGGAGTGGGGAAACCGAATGAATAATGGTGGAGGCGCCAATCCTGGGTTTACCAGGAATTTCCTAGGTGCCCTTAGGCCACATATTCCACCTCTCTGGGCCCATCTCTTCATCTATGAGGTTTGGGGGTTTCCTAAGTACTCTTCCAGCCCTAAGAACCAGAGAAGGGAGACAGGAGGGAAGGTGGGGAAGAGGGCACTGCAGGAAACTGGCAACTGTTTTCAGCCACCAGGATCTAAAGATATCTCTGGAGCTCTGTTTCTCTACCCCCCTTCTCCGGGCAGGGTCACTTTCCTTCCCCTTGGCTCACCTCTTCTCTTACCTCAGCCTACTGCTCTGAGAAACACGACGCTGTTGTAAAAATAAAGCCAGCAGCGTGGATGCCTGCCGGTCAATGTAGTTTGGGGACCTCCGGGGGAAGCAGAGGGCAGGTCTGCTGACCTGGACATGGCTTCCCCTTTTGGGGCCACAGACCTCTTTGAGTTCAAATGTGCTGTGCACTGTGCCTAACATTCTGCTAAGCTCTTCTCCGACGAGCAGTGACATCACATTAAGTCTTCACAGCCAGGTCCACTTCTGAGGTTTTGGAGGCTTGGGGCAAGAGTTGCAAATGGAAATGTAAATTAGGATAATAAAGTGTTAAAATTTATCTTTTCTTCTTTGTCTTTTCGTTCATGATAGCCTGGAAGATCAGTACTAAAATGAGATTTTCAGACAATTTTGCTCACTCGTTCTTAGGGCTGGAAGAGTCCTTAGGAAACCCTCAAACCTCACAGATGAAGAGATGCGCCAAGAGATGTGGCCCAAGGTTACCTAGAAAGTTCCTAGTAAATTTACCTAGTAAATCCAGGGTTGGAGCTCCCTTCCCCATTGTTTGGTTTCCTATTCCACACACCCCTCTTCCCCAGGTCCTGAAACAACAGGATGTTGTGCATGCTTGGGAAGGCTCCACTTGCAAGCCAGAGTCCTTCCATTCCCCATGACTTGCAAACAGTTGTCCCTTGACCACTTCCTGGGTGTCTGGGTGCATGTATGCCTGGTAGAGTCAGCTTTCAGAGGGCAGATGGACCTGGGAAAGAGATCTGCTCGGGGTATTTAAAGAGCAAATTTCAGAGTCCTGGATCCTTGAAACAATCTAGAAGGGGAGGAGCTACATGTCCACCACCCTGTGGTCTCAAGGATTTATTGTTCAATGAGGAGGGGCATAGCCAGAGGAGAGTCAGCATGAGGTCCTCCAAAATCTGGAGTCCAGGGCTGAGGGTCAGATTTCTCTTGACAATCCTACCAGATAAGTATCTTGTGTTCACCACCTTGCAGGTGTGGAGCAAAGTCTTCTCCAGAAGATTGGGTGAGTGTACTTCGTAACTGTGAGGCTGTCAGAGTCACTGTACCACCATACTACCGCAACAGTGATGCTGAAGAAGGAAGCAAAACCGCAAAATTCACACAGATATTTATCATTTTGCATACAACCCATGGGTTCCTGATGTCTCTGAAAATTACCAAGGACCCCCCAGGTTGAAAAGGTGGGTGGTCGGTTGAGGATGCTGTGGTGTGCTTGCAGCAAGGGCCAGAACCCGAAAGGTGTGGAGGCTCCAGGTTTTTAAGTCTGCACCTGTCTCCAGATAGCAAAGAGGATACATACTGGAGGTTTGGATGGCTGGGCAGGGGTGCTGAGGAAGACACCCACCACAGAGAGCACTGCTTAATTTTAACTCAGAACTGTACCAGGGAAAATCCCCGCTGGTTCCAAGTGTCACCTTAGCCCTCTGACCTAGTAGTGACCCTGGGGTCCTCCACTCCCACCTCAAGAAGGCGGCAAAATGGACTCTCTGTGGATTGGGTTCAGAAGGAAACTAGGAAGCTTTTGGAGGAAGGTGACTAATGGGGTAGGGATGCTGTGGGTGGGTAAAGGGGTGTGCTGGCCACAGATCAGACGGGGATGGATGGGTAGCATCTGGCCACCTCTATCACCAGGATCTCTCTCACGGTGATTTCCAAGGAGTCTATGAAGAAATGAGGGAGTTGGTGGGCAGTGGGCAGGGGCCCTTTTCCATGGGAAGAAATGGATTTTTGGCGGTCCAAAGCAACTCGCGGAGCGGATGAGCAGCGTGGTTGAAGACAGCGGGCGCGGGTCCTAGAGTTGCACGCGCGCCGCGTCCGTCCAGCAGCCACGGAGGCGCGGCTGCAGTGGGCAAGCCGGCACACGCCCACCGGCTGCGGCAGCGCCCGCTGCGGACAATCTAGTGGTCCCTTGGCAGTCCCGGGAGAGAGAATCTCTACCGTACCTGGACTCCCCAAGCAGAACAAAACAGCCTTCCAACAAACGAAAAGCTCCACCACTATTCCCCCTAAACTATGCTCCTAATTGGCAGATCGACTCATGGGATGATGCGGGAGGCTGCGGACCGGCCCTGCAGTGCCAAGCTGCACAGCCTAGCCCGACTGGAGAGGAAACTGGGTGCTCAGCCTGGTCCTGGGGCTCCAGGACCACGAAACGGGGAGCGCGGGGCAGGGTACGCGGCAGGCGGGGGTGCCTTGGGCTCCGCCGCGGCCACCGCCCCTCCTGCGGCTGGAGCGCTTCCAGAGCAGAGGCGCAGCCTCCCTCGCCGCGGCTTTCGCTCAGTCGTCCTCCCCCTCCTGCTCCGGCTCCTCCTCCTCCTTCGCTTCAGCCCCGGCTCCCGCAGCCGGCTCCAGGAGGCGGGCGAGCGCGCCTCCCTCTTCTTTTCCTTCCCCCTCCTCCGCTCTCTGCCAGCTAACTTTTCCCGAGCCCGGACCCGCGGCGCAGAGCTCCCAGGCAGCTGCGGGGCCGACTGCCGACCTCGGGCTGAGAGCGCGGTGGTGCCCAGTATCCCATCCCTGCGCCCTCGGCGCGCTCCGGAGAGAACAGGACCATGTCCCGGGCTGGAGACCGAGGCAAAGCCCTGGCGAGATGGCTGGGCACTGGGCTTTTGGGTAAGGCAGCCCCAGCTTGGTCTCTTCTCTCGTTTCTTCCTTCCCCCACCCCACCCAGAGGAGGGGACACTGGAGAAGAGGGGTGCCTTGGATAGGGTGGGTGTTGGAGCGCTGCACAGAATGAGTACGGTGGCCACCCTTTTCCCGCCGGTCGCCTGGATTTGAGGCTGTGCTCTCTGGGGACCGTACGTCTCCCCCCACCCCCCGCAACAGCCCATCAGCCCGTCAGCCTCGCGATGAGTTTTTTTTTTTTTTCCTTCCCTGTCTCTGGCGCTTTCAGCTCCAGGCTTTTGGAGCTGAGTATTGAGACTGCAGCGGGGCTCTCCGGAGTTCAGAGGCTCAGGCATGCTACGGGAGGGGGTCTGTGCCTTGGGTGTAGGGGATGCCAGGTGGGTTGTGGGTGTGATTGTTGGGATGGTGCTTTCCACTCCTGCTCAGAGCGGTTTGCGTGTTTCCCAGGCATCAGGCATGCTACGGGGGCCAGGGGGATCTCCTTCCTCCCAGGCCTTTTTTTTTTTTTCCTCCCCTCAGGTTCCCCCGCTCTGTTCCTGCGCTACTGCTTTCCCCACAGCTCCACACCAGGTGCTGGAAGAGCTTGGAAGGATTTGGAGGACCGTTCAAAAGCCACCTTTTAGGGAGGGCCTTGTCTCTTTTCCTGTTAAGAGATTCTGTAGTGAGGACCTGCTTATCCTGCTCCTGGATCTTCATTTTTGGGTGACTATGAAGATTAAGGGGACATGCCAGAGGACACAGAGGGAATGGAGTATTATAAATATCTATTAATATGCACATGATAGTTTTGAGGGTCAAACTCCAGAAGATTGGGGGATGATATTTATTAGCCGAGTGTAATCTCCTCATAAATCATAGTTGGACTTCAATGTAAGCTGACTCCATCTCTGGCACCTGTACCCCTTCCTGTTTATATTTCTCAGATTTGGCTTTGGGCAGCTCTCCCCTCCCCATTGGGTCAGGCACATGATAGAGGTATTTGTGCTGAAAACTGGGGACAGAAACCTCCAAGGGAAGCTGCTACTGTTTCTGCATCTGTAAACTGCATCCAGCTGTTATGTCAGTACCTCGAGGTGGAGGGAGCCAGAGGATATCTTTACTCAGGAGCCACTGGATAATTGACATCCCTGAAGCTGGATGGAAGCCACTTATGGCTTATTTACATCCCTGCAGTTGGACAGAAGACCTTTGGTACAGATGTCATGTGGGTTTCAGAGGGACCCTAACGAAATGAGCTTCTGGCACCTGAGGCTTCTCTTCATGGGGTGGGCAGAGTGCCACTTCACACAAATTCCTCCTCATCCCCTCTCAGATCAGCCCAGGTTCCCACTGTGGCTATGGCAGGGGTAATGAGACATTGGTCACTGAGACATTGGAACTCTTCCAGTCGCCAAATTACCCCCACATTATGTTGTGAGCTTCTATGCCTCCTGTGCTTGGTTGGTGGTGGGATGCCAGGCCTAGGACTATTAGAATGTTCATAAAACTAGGCTTCGGTGGGCAATCAGGAGACCTGGGAACTGCGTGTTTGCACATGTGTGAGCGAGCGCGTGCGTGGCTGGGAATGGGGGAAATGAGGCTGAATCTTGTATACTTCTCCAGGTGGAAGCCCCACTTCCTCCAAGGACTGTGGAGGCCAGCAGGCCCCACCAACTGTGCCCCCTGCCTCTCTGCTTTGCAGAGGGACTTCAAACAGGGTCTCCCTTTGGGCTTTCCCAAGCAGTTACTGATTGAACCCTCACAGACACATTGCTCTGAGTTTGAGACTGTGGACATCCATGCTGTGGGTCCTGTGGGGGAGATGCTGAGAGGACTGGATAGCCGAGCTGTAGCAATTGCCTGGGTGCATCAGAGCAGGCAGGACCTTTGGAAACCATAGCATGGAACTCTTCTGGGGATGAGGAAGCCGTGGTTCAGAAAGGGTTGGTGATTTGCTCAAGGCTGCATGACCATTCAATGAATGGTCCAATGGGACAGAATCCAGCCTCTTGGGCTTTGGCCCACCAAGCTGCCTCCCTTTATCAGAATTATGGTGAGGGGGAAGGTCAGTAGGCATTGGGCTTTGGGCTGAGGAAAAGCGAGGCTCTGGAGCATGGCATAGAAGGATGAAGGTTTGGGGGACCCAGAACTGCTGTTTTCACAGCAGGGGACATTGGGTCCAGAGCGGTCAATTCCTGGGAGTCCTCTTCCCCTTTCCCCATACCAAACCCAGTGCCATAGGCTGAGACTACAGTGAGTTTGGACAACCCAGCAAGATGCCCTTTGTTAAAGTAGAAGTAGTTTCCAAGGCCATATCATTGTGGTTGAGGTTTATGTGGGTTCCAGACGTTTCCTAAGCATATAACTGGTAATATATCTGTCCTGCTCACCCCTTCCTTGTTCCCTGATTTGCTTAATTGCTGTGATCTGTGTTTAATTATCACTTGTGAGGGTGCTGTGTTGCACAACCCTCTTTCCCTTGGTATGTATTTATTAAGGGCTTGTTTAATGAGAATGCAATTAAGAAGAGGGTGTTCATTCTCACTCAGAGGAAGAAAATGGCAAGGGGAAGCCAGGGTTCCTGGAGAAGAGGAGAGGCAAGGGGAGCAGTGGAGGAAGAAGATGGGTTTGGATCTGGAAAGGATGGTTGATTCTCTTTCTAAATCTTCTGGAGGCACAGACCTGTGGGGACAAGAGAAGCCTTTCTGATTGGCCACTGCCTGGTGGGATCAGCATCTGGGTAGATTCTGGGCTCAGAGAACCACCTTGCTCTGTGGCTGGTCATTGAGGGGAGGTAGGAGATATCTGCATAAGCTATGGATGGTCTGGGCCAACACACTGGTCTATAAGAGGTGGGACAGGCACACTGTCTGGACTTGTTTGCAAAGCTGGTTTCCGCGGAGCATCCACTGTCGTCTCAGGGGCATGCTTCTATCCTGGCAAAGCACTTGGGTGTGGGCAGGAAGCAGGCAGGTTGCCTAGGGCAAGGGAGCTGTAATTTTTCCTATGTCTCTGGGCCCAAGGGCTTTGCCTGGCCCAGCCTTGCCTCCACAGCCCCCAGGGCCTCCCCCTCAGGAGGGGTCCTGTCCTGCTGTCCTCGGCCCATTTTCTGCCTCCCAGCTCTCACTCTGAGCCTCTCTGACTCCCCTAGGTTTAGAGTGTCTCAGCTGAATTTCCGCCTGCCATGCCAGCTAAGCCTCAGAGCTAAACTTAGAGTGGGCACCATGTTGTCCTCTTTCTTCCCCCTGACCCGAGAAGGGGGGTGTTACTGATCCCTGGATGTGGGGAAAGGGGGCAGAATATTTCCTGCCTGCCATTTGCTTTGGTCTGTAAGGTTGTTGCCATGAGAGTCCCGCTGGTGTGAATATTTAGTATGCTGAATACTTTTTTACTTTAATAAAACTTGAAAATCCAGACAAAGCAGCTCAGGATCAGAAAGAGGCTCCCACTCCCAAACACACATGTGCACCTTGACATTCTAAAGTATCACATTTAGGATGAAGCAAAGAAAGTCCTTTACTTCAGGGAAACAGCCGCATGGAAATAATCCAAGCTGTGGTACATGGTGAAGGTGTAGATCAATGTGTGAGTAGCCTGGAGACATTCTTGGCTGACACTGGTCATTAAGGGAAGCTAGGAGTGCCCTGGTTATACCCAAGTCTAAGATGGGGACAACCGTGCCCCCTCTCCACATTCAAACACCATTCTCTTCTCTCTGTGGGGTGCCTACTCACTCAAACCCTTCTTGTGTTTTAAAATCTCTGTTTTGGCTTCACACCAAGTTCAGGAGGTAGGAAAGTTTATAGGCATCCTTTGCGGTGGAGTTTAGGGATGGGCATGCTGGATGTGGTACTTCTGATTTTCTCAAGGTCAAGAGGGAGAGTGGGCCTGCGTGGTGTCTGCTGACCAGTCCTCCCCTGGCCTGGTCAATCTGCTGAAGCAGCCCTCTGAGAGGCCTCAGGGGAATCATGCACCCTTCTTCTCTCTTATCCCTGCAGCACAGCCTCACAGGTGACACCCTGCTGGGAGAGCTGGATGGTGGAGAAGTCAAGCTAGGATGCCTTAACCTGGGTGGGGCCCTGGACTCAGTGGAAGCCATCTCTGCTTCTTTCCCTCACCCCCACCCCCAGACTAAGGAGGAATGGCAGTGTTTTCCTCCTAGAGTTCTGAGTGTGTTAGACTTAAGTCATCCATATCAGGCAGAAATGCACACTGTGTTGTGAGCCAGACCTTAAAGCAATAGTGTCTTCTATATTGAACCTTTCTTTTGCTCCATTTTGCTTCCATTTAGAGCAGCCCAAAGCATTTCCCTTTTGATGTGCGTCTTTTGTGCTCTTGAATACCTGGCCAGGATTGGGGAGGGGTTTGAGTTCTCACATCTTTTCCATTACCCAGGTTTTCGGGCCTGAGTGCCAATGAACATTGGAGTGGGACCTGCGGCCCCCTTGGAGTCCCAAGGAAACCCTGTAGCTAGCAGGAATCTAGCTGTTTTTCTCCTGAGCCTTGTGGAGGCTGTTGGAGGGGTGAGGAGCAGAGGTGTGTGTGTGTGTGTGTGTGTGTGTGGGGTCTCCGGCTAGAAAGCCATCCTCTGGTGTTGGCCCCAGACAAGAGGGTGGAATCTTGTGTCTGGTTCCTGCCCCGCCCCCACTCACTTCTGGAGGTGGGGGAGTGGGAATAGGGGAGGGTAAAAGGGAGGGAAACCCAGGAGCTCCAAGGAACTCTAAGCCCTGACAACTGCTCTTTTCGAGATGTGAAAAGCAGACATATTTCTGAAAGTTGTTTGTCTACTTCCTGGGTGTGTGGTTTTGGCAAGTTAATCTTTTTGAACCCATTCTTTTTGTTTATTAGGAATAAAAATAATGACTACCTTATAGTATTATCTTTTTTTTTCTTTCTGGTGCTGGGGATTTGAACCCAGGGCCTTGTGCATGTGAGGCAAGCACTCTTATCAATTGAATTATATCTCCAGCCCATGAATACCTTATAGGATTATTAAAGGATTAAATGGGACACTATATAAAAACATCTATCCTGTAGTACAGTAAATGTTCAGTTCCAGGTTGGCCACTTACCATTTGGCCCCTGGGCAAGTCACTACTCTCTGAGCCTCAATTTTAATTATCTGTAAAATGAGAAAAAAAATTATACCTACCTTTTGACATCCTAATAAAAGTTGTGGTTAATACAGTATAAGTCCTCTAGCACAGTGCTTCTCAAAGTGTGGTCCACACCCATGGCATTAGCTGGGGTGCTCTGAAGAGATGCCAACTGTCTGGCACCACAGAAGACCTACAGAATCAGTAGCTCCAGGGCCCTGCTGACTTTCTGCCCTCCAGGTGATTCTGATTCCTTTCAATTTGCAAACTACTGTTCTGAAACAATTCCTGGCACACAGGAGCTGACCAAAAAAATGACAGTTAATTGAAATAACATCCCAGCACTAATTGGAGTCCTGGTGGGCAAACCTGGCTATTTTAGGATGCAAGGAGAAATTTTCCTGCTTTGGAACTATGGGATGGTGGCAGTGTCTCTCTCCTTGACCTTAGATAAGTTACCCAACTTTTGGAGTCTCTATTGTTTCATTTTGAATATGGATCTATAATAGTATATACCATTCAAAGGAGAGGAGTGAGGGTGGAAAGTGCCAGGCGCATAATAAATGCTCAATAAATATCAGCTATTACTGCTATTATTGACAGTGGCAGGGGTCGTGATTGGGTTACTGGGCCATGGGTGTAATTTCTGAACTGGTGGGGTACAAGGACTCCACTGTGTTGCCAGAAGCAAAAGGGACACGAAAATGAGTGGACCTTTTGAGATCAGGAGCAGGGCTGCCAGCTCTCCTTGGAGCCCCTTCGCCGTCATTTAGAAAGCATTGTTCAAAAATACCAAGAACATCATACTCTCCTGTGGGCAAAACAAGAGGAAACTGAAGTATGATGCGGCAGGAGTTGTCTAACTTAATTCCTAAAGGCCTCCTGAGAGTTAGGGTGGGAGAAAACACTCGTTTCGCCCCTAGGGGCAGGAAGAGTTATGCGTCCAGCTGCGGATCCCCTTTCCCCAACGACCTTGAGAGCGGGGTTTCCTAGAGAAATGTGCAGGGCGGGAGGGGGGCCAGGTGCCCTTACAAGGATTCAGGAGGAGGGATCCCGGCCGCTAGTGGAGTCGCCTCTCGGGGGCGTTTGGACGCACTGCGACTGCGGAGGGATTGTGCAGAACTTTGGGGTCATCGCGGCTGTTCCGGGATGAGGGGCAGAGCGTGGCTGCAGGGTGTGGCGGGGAGGCCCCGCTTCTCGGGAGGGGGAGGGAACAGCAGGTCACCCGAGGCTACCCCGCTTGCAGGCGTGCATTTCAGTGCCTCGGGAATCTGCCTCCACAGCGTCTCTACACTCTTACTTTTCTCTCCATCTTTGCTCTACTCGCTCCGCCCTCGCTGCTGCCCATTTCCAAGCTGTGCGCGCCCCGCCATCCCTCTCGGTCCATCATCCTTCTGTTAGGATCTCGTTCGATGGACAGAAAGCGCTGGCCTCAGATGATCAAGCAAGGTCCGGCCCAAAGATGTCTCTCTTAGATCCTCGGGGCCCAGTAGGAGTCTCCAGGGCTGGGTGATGAGAGGCTGCAGGACAGTTGCGGGGACAACGGCGACTGCTTTTTCCTTCTTCTCGTTATCCTATCCCGCATTCCCCCACCCCCAGATTCCGCAAACACAACGAGGTGCACCGTCCTAGGGCAATTCCCAGGCATGCAGTAGGGCGCACCGCCCGCGGTCCCTGGGCACTTTCGGGGACTGCGTCTCTAAGTGAGGGGGCGGGGCGGGGGCGAGGATTCCCCGGCAAAACGGCCGACCCTCCTTTTCTTGGGTTGGGGTGACCCCTGGTGGCCAATTAGAGTGTCACAAGAGGTACTAAGGGCCCAGAATTCAGTCCCATCTACGTGAACCATTTCAATTGGAGTAAAAAGAATCATTCTAGTGAAGCTGACACTGAGGGTGACAGAGGCCTCCCTTCCTGGCTAAGCCACTCTGCCCAGCCTGAGGATCCGCTTCCAATGCAGAGTGTACTCCTTACACAGGTCTCCTCCTGCTCCCCATGTCCCTGTCGCTGGAGGTGTCTGTGGGAAAGGCCACTACCATCTATGCTGTCAATGGCACGGAGATCCTGCTGCCTTGCACCTTCTCCAGCTGCTTTGGCTTCGAGAACCTCCGCTTCTGGTGGACCTACAATAGCACTGACATATTCAAGCTTGTAAGTGGTGTAGGGACAGTCAGGACAGTCCAGTCTCTCCTTCCCTTCTCTATCGCTCACTTCCCATCCCAGACTATGGTCGTTCTGGGCTGAGCCCCACTATGATGGTCCCCAGAGCCCAACTTTTGTTACCCCTTTTTCCAGATTTCTTCCAGACAGACTCTGGGCAGGAGGGACGTTTAGATGGTGGGACCAGAATTTTGGGGTCTGTTAGAATTCTTGGCTAGAGTTGTCCGTCTGGTTTTATGAAATATCCATAATATGAATTGCTTGTGTAAAAATTGATAGTTTAATTTAAACAACAGGAGACTGAAAGACCATTGGAAGCCTTGGAGAGAGGGAATGAGACGAGAACGAACAAGGAAGGAGGTGGCTGGACTTGGAAGGGAAGGAGCGAGGAAACTGGGGTGGAGCAGGGGCTCTGGAGGAACAGTAAGGGCGTGGGGTGAGGGGTGAATCAGCCGGCTGAGTTCTGTGCAGCCTGGCAGGGGACCTGGCCTCAGGCTGACCCAGGGAAGTGACATGTCTTCCTCTGGATGGAATTAAACACTGACCTAAGAGGGTGTTGAAGAACAGAGCTGTGGCCTTGACTTGGGTCTTGATGGAGGAGCAGAATTAAGTGAAGCAAGGGACTCAGTGTCAGAAAGACAGGGTGGGAAGTGCAGAGGGAAATGCATGCGGTATCTGTAGAGTCATTATGTAAAAGCTTTTATGAAGAGAGCAGTAAGAATGTGCTGCATTCCAAGGAGACCTTAATAAAAGGAACTGGGTTTGGCCTGAAACAGGCAGAATTCAGGTTTGACAGGCAGAGCTGTTGACTCTGGCAGAGGAAATTGGGAAGGTGAAACACCTCTCATGGGAGGCTCTTTCTGGACCTGGACAGGGAAGGCCCCCAAGGATGGGGCTGGAGTGATGTCATGACCTTTGATCACTCTGAATTTTTTGTGACCCAGCTCATAGATGGAACTGTGAAGAATGAGAAGTCCGACCCTAGGGTGAAGTTGAAAGGTGATGACCGCATCACTCTGGAGGGCACCACTAAGGAGAAGATGAACAACATTTCCATTCTGCTGAGGAGCCTGGAGTTCAGCGACACAGGCAAATATACCTGTCATGTGAAAAACCCCAAGGAGAATGACCTGCAGCACCAGGCCACCATCTTCCTCCAAGTTGTTGATAAATGTATGTAGTGGGGTTGGGATGAGGGCAGTGGAATGGGAAGGGCTGGGGGTATCTCAGTGGTACAGTGAAATGGCACGGTGGCCTGCACTGGTGCTTTCTGTGACCTTACACTTTCAAGAGTTACTGGAGCCGCCTGGTGTGGTGGTGCACAGGGATTTGGGGGGCTGAGGCAAGAGTATTGGAAGTTGTAGGTCAGTTTCACTAGCTTATTGAGACCCCCAGAAACCCAATGAGACCCTGTCTCAAATAAAAAATAGAAAAAACTGGGGATGTAGCTAAGCGGTAAAGTGACCCTGGATTCAATCCCCAGTACAGGGGGAAAAAAAAAAGTTACTGGAATTGTATCTGAGTTACATCCGGGAGTGTAAACACTTCTGCTACTGAGTGGCTTGTGAAATCACTTAGCCTCTTTGAACCTTTTTTTTTCTGGTCTGTAAAATGGGAATATGGCTGCATTCTGCTAGGGTTGTTGTGATGGCTGGAGGAACTATCTATGAATGGCTAGTTAAGCTCTCTGTGTAAATGCTGATGACTGTTACTATTGTGTATTCTGTTAGCAAATATTGGTTGAATGTCAGGTATTGTATTAAAACATGTTATGGATGATACACAGTATACTTGAGGCATGTACAGTTCAGGGTAGGTCAGAGGATAAGAAAATGAATAACTGGAATGTGGCAGATGACTTATATACATCCATGGCAGCACCTATAATGGAGATGGAAGACATGGTCCCTGCCTTCTGGGAGCTTATCTCCTAGTAGGGAATTGCAGTCTGATGGTGGGTGGACCAATTAGACAGTAAGGATGGATGTGATAAGGAGCCAGGTGGTCACAGGACCCTAAGGCTGGAGGTGTTTAGAGAAACAGGGAGTGATAAGCAGCAGGGGAGAAGCGAGGCTGGGCCTCACCCTGCGGAAGAGCCCGCAAAACTAGGGAGCCTCAGGAGCTGAGCACAGGGGAAGGGCAGCTACTCCAGGGCTCCAATTCTACTGCCTTTTGTGTGTCCCTGGGGGTCCCCTGCTCTCCTGGAGGACATGGAGTGCCTGGAGAGGGGGGACACCATGGGTTCAATATTGGCAGTACCAAGGACACAGCCAGAGGCGATCTGGGGAGCCTTTTCGGAGCCTGGAGTCATCTGAGTGAGGTCTGGTATAGTGTCACCTCTTCCTCTCTGTCTGGGTTTCTGTCACTCTGCTTTGTGCTCAGCCTTTTTGGAGAGGAGAGAAGGGGACCAACATTTATGGGGGCTTTCTGGGTGCCAGGCATTGAGTGAAGAGCTCTCACTTACCTTCTCTTCTTTGCTCCTCACAAAGTCCCTTAAGGTCTCCCTTTTGAGTCATTCATCCACTCACAGGTGTGTACTGAGCACCCTCCATGTGGCAGATGATGTTCTAGATGCTCAAGGCCCAGCGGGAGAAGATGGGCACGTTCCTGCTCCTTGGGAAATTCCCTTCCCCTCCTGCCAGCGGAGGAGTGACTTAAAAAGAGAGATCCGTGCGTGGTGTTGGTGCTGCAGAGAAAGATAAAGCAGCAGGGCGGGTGGGGGGTTTGCAGGGTGGCCGAGAAAGGCCTCGCTGGCCAAAGTCTGAAGGAGGCAAGAGAGGACACCGTGAGGTTGTCTTTGCCTAGAAAGAGGCAAGGAAATTCTCACATGACAATTTGGGGGTCAAGTTGTGGCTCAAACCTCAAATTCTGATTCATCCCAAACGTGTGTGTGAGTTTTGGGGAGGGTGTGCATGAGGAGGGTGAGGGGACAGGGTCCTATTGTTCCTTAGTCGGATGGATGTTCCAGCTTCTCCTCTGTCCTGCTGTAGGCCTGGAGAGGGTCGGTGGCCTGTGGTGGGTGGTGCTGGCCCTGGCCCTCCATGGTGCTGGCTCCAGGTGACTCCTCCTCCCCCTCCCCGCCCTCCCCTCTCTGCTCTGGCCACACAGTGGAAGAAGTGGACAACACAGTGACAGTCATCATCCTGGCCGTGGTGGGTGGAGTCATTGGACTCCTCATCTTCATCTTGCTGCTAAAGAAGTTCATCACTTTTGTCCTCAAGAAGACCCGGGAGAAAAAGTGAGTTGACCTCCCTGGCAGGCTCTGGGTCCCCAACTCACCCCCCTCCCATCTCCTGCTCCTTTGATTTCACCTTCATCTGCCCCTGGTAGCCGCAGCCTTCCTTCCGTCTCTTCATTCCACCCTCCCTTCCGAGTCCCACCACCACCTTTGCTATCCCTGCAACTCTCATCCCCCTCTCGGGGCTCTTCCCCATCCTCCCAGTCTGTATTAGTGGAACACACTGGATCGTTATGTACATAAATACATGCTAAGTGTTTTCTTGCTAGGACACTGGTACACCAGGAGATTGCTACAGATTATAATTCATTCTATCATTCATCAAATGTCTACCACACTTTAAGTGCTCCACCAGGTATTTTATAGAGTACCTATCACTTTTTTTTTTTTTTTTATAGATGAACAAAAGTGAGGTTCAGAGTAGTTAAGTGACATGACTAAGGCCACACAGCTAGTAAGTGAAAGAGATTTGAACTCTGACACATTTGGCCTCAACCCTAAAATTGTTGCCACCATGTCCTTCTTGCTCATTGAGTATCTCTAGAGTTGATTCATTCATTCTTTCACTTGGTGGCTATTTTTGAGGTACCGTGTGCAAGGCACTGTGCCAGGTGCTGTAAGACATTCTGGAAGGAACGATTCTGTCCTTTGGTGAAAGAGACAAGACGCATGCACAAGTAAATGTAATACCAGGCACAGAGGGGATGGATCCCAGCAAAAACAGGTGTGATAAGGTGTTGTTGCAGAGTTTGGAAGAGGGTGATATTTGGGTATTGTTGTTGGTATAATTTCATCCCTGGGACAGTGAGGGGAAGGTGGCCCAGGTGGAGGAAGCATTGAGAGCAAAGGCAGAGCCGGGCAGTAGGCGCGTGTCTGGGGAGCAAGGCCTTTTCTGTCATAGTCGGGTTTTGGGTAAAGGAAAGGAGAAGAGTCTGTGAAGGGATTGAGGTCAGATCTTGGGGGCCTGGGAGCCCAGCTGCAAGTGGCTTCCCTCTGACGCCACTGGAGAACTGGTGAGGGCTCACAGGCCCCCAAGCCCCACTCCTCAAGATCAAAGGGTCTGGCCATGGGACAGAGGGACTGGGTGGGAGAGGCTGGAGGCCCTGAGTATAGGCCTCAGGGAAGCCTGAGAGGGTCCCTTGAACAGCAAGGAAAGGGACATTGCAGTAAAAGTCCAGGAGAAACTTTGCATGAGTTCTTTCCATCCTCCAGGACTCTGCTGTGGACAAAGGGTAAACTGATATCAGAACCTGTCCAGCTCAGGGCGGCCAGGGGTGAGGGTCCGGCCCTCGAGGTGTCTTCCTAGCTGACCACGTCTCCTTTCTCTGCCTTCTATCCTGTCCCACCACCCTCTGCCCGACCTGCCATCCTTGAGGCCACACCCACGGCTGCTATGCCCCTGCCTTTGTTCACAGAGCTCAGGGAGAAGGGCCTGGTGGGACTGAGGGAAAGAGCTCTACGTCCTCAGAATATTCCTTGCTGGCCTGGACCCTCCCCTTGGGGTGGTACAGCCTGAACCTGACCCTCATGACCCTTGTGGCCATGTTGAGACAAGGAGGTGGTGGCGAGGCCTTGTTGAGTCCATTTCCCCTTTTAGATATGCTTACTCCTCACAGCATCTCATGAAGAAGGTGTCAGGGTTCCATCTATTTTATAGATGAGCAAATCAAGGCATCGAGAGGCAGGTGACTTGGCCTCCGGTTTCCTTAGCTCTTAGAAGGTCAGAGACCGTGGCTCCCTCCCCAGTTCATCCCCTGTTCTGCTCACCTGTGCACCTCTCTCTCCCTCCCCAGGAAGGAGTGTCTTGTGAGTTCCTCTGGGAATGACAACACGGAGAACGGGTTGCCTGGCTCCAAGGCAGAAGAGAAACCACCCACAAAAGTCTGAGGCCCTGCTTCAGGCCAAGCAGCTGCAGGGGGCCTGGCTTTCTGATCCTGACACTGAAGCTTGAGCCCGTCCGTCTGTAGAACCCACGTGCCTGAGACATCTGCTGCTTGGCTCAAACTGTAGTCCTCCCGGGCAGGGAGAAACCAGTGTCCTGCCCAGCCTGCCCCACACCCTCCCCAGCCAGGGCTTCCCAGGGACAAGGACTGGCCAGGGAAGGGGGCCTGTGAAAAGTTCAGGAAAGGGAAAGGCGGGGCTGGTCCCCCGACACCTGGGAAGATGGGGGCTCTTTCTGGCTCCCCCCACTGAGTGAGCAGGACCTTGATTTTCCTTCTGATTTCTCCTCAAGAGGGACTTGGGGGATCAGTGAGCCTGCCCCAAAAACTGGACCTTGGAGCCTTGTGTGGGGAACAAACCCTTTTGGGTGGGAGGGGGCTAAAGGACTCTGGAGAAGGCCTTGGGGTGGGGGTGCTGCTGGAGGGGGGGTCCACAATATGAGGCAAACTTGATTTGGTGGGATAACTGGTCTCTCACAGACCCTGAAATGGGGAGCTCCCCTCCCCCCACCCTGGAGTGCCTGTCTGCCTTGTCCTGCTCCCTGTCCTGTCCCTAGCTCCGAGTTTCTAAGTCCTCTGAGTGAGAGTTGGCCATCTTGGTCTTGAGGGGTCCCAGCCCACCTAGCCTGTCCCTCTGCTCTCTGTGTTGTCATGGAGAGGCCCCTCCAGCCTTTCTGGAGCACTAGAGTGCTAACCTACATTTTTTCTAGCATTTTCCGGGGGGAATTGGGCTGCAGAGGTGGGCAAGCCAATGTCCTAGGCCTCTCGGCCATTGCAACGCCCACTCCAGCCCCACAATGCTGGCAGCCCTTGTCCTTGGCATGGCAGGACCATGGCCACCCTGAGCACTCCTGACTCCAGCTCCTCCCTGCTCCAACCCTTCCCCTGAAACAGCAGGTGATGTCATCTTGCTTGAGGGAGTTGTCCCCTTGAACCTCCATCTCATTGGCTTGCTCTTCCTGGCCCCCCCATCACACCTTTGTCCCCCGTCCCCAGGATTGCTCATCCCCAGCCTTTGGTTTGCCTTGCCTCAGGGATTCTCTTCTTTGGATGAGAGAGCCCTGGAGTTTTCCAGGTGCTTTTTGCTCAGCTGGGCCACCCCAGTCCCACCCTGGGGCTGGGGAGGAGCAGGGAGAGGGCACCCACACTTTTCCTCTGCTTTTGGTAGAACTGGGTTTGCATACCCCTTGAGGGTGGGCTAGACTGTGCCTTAGCTCCTGGAGTCCCAGCTCCTATGCCCTCCCCTGAACTGTGCATTCTGGTGTGGTCCCCACCCTCTCCTTCCCAGTATCAATGAGGAGGCCATGAAGCTGGAGTTGTGTCATTGATATCAGTGACTGAGTCTTGGAGATATCTGCCAGATGCTCCCATCCAGGACCCTGATGGCAAGATGTCATGATGGGGCCTCATGATTGTGTGGGGTCCCAGCCCCTCTCTCCCTTTTGGGCTGACACTCTGCTTCTGGGCCCATAGGAGGGGTGGAGAGAAGTAGACCTCGTTTTCCAGAGGACATGGGGGTGGCCTCAGGACTCTCCTGCCCAGAGGCAATCACCAGCGTCCCTGAGGATGGAACTTGGGAGGAATTTGAGGAGCAGCAGTACCTGCAGGATGCCCATGGCTGGGGCTAGTGTCCCTTGCCCAACCTGATGGGTTTGCAGATCCCCACTCTGAACTGCCCCCTCCCCTCCTTTCCTTCTTCAAGGACTGGGGGTCAGATTTCTTGGCTTTGGGGATAGATAGATCAGAGCCCCCAGACACTTAGAAAATTTCTTCCAGCTGCCTTCATGCAAAAACCACTGCTTTCTTCTCCCTTCCCAGTGTCAACATTTGAAGAGAGTGTCTGGGTGCCTCTTGCTTTCTTGGGAGGAACCTCAGGCATAGAGCAGTGGGAGAGTTAGGGCAACCTCCTCTCCCCTCTTCTGGGTCTTCTGCTGACTTACAGGCAGGCCTCGCAGCTTCTCTGGGCTCAGCTTTTCCATCTATCCAGTGGGTGTAATACTACTTACCTACCTCACAGGACTGTCGTGGGACTTGGCAAGTTTTGTTTTAAAAATCTTTTTAGCTTGGAAAGGGATTTGGGAAGCAGTTTTATAATTGGAGGGATTGTTCCAAGTCTGTCAGGTCCTCATCTTTGTGTCCCATCCCTACAACACACACACACACACACACACACTCTTTCCACTCCTCCCCTTTGGAATTCTCTAGTCTTTGTAATGTTAGAAACCTTGACTCTGACTGAGGCCTGAAGCTTCTTGTCCATGGCTCTTGTTTGGTGGTTTCCAATAGAGATGATTGGGACTGTAAGGGGCATATTTCTCGCTATCCCAATGTCTGGGTCACTACTGGTTTTAGTGAGTGGGGTCTGAGAGTATTTAACTTAGTCTCCACATCAAAGAATGTCCTGTTTCAATCACAGCATTATGCCCCTCGAGAAGCATCTGAATGGATTTGCAATAGGGTGCCTATGGGCACAAGTAGATCCTAGCTACATGCAGGTCTCCAATGGTGGGTCAGGGCTGGTGAGGGTGTTCCCAGGGCTTGTGGGCTCGAGAGATCCGTTTGCAAAGTTGCTCTTGAGGACCCTGGGCACTGCCAGTGGTGTCCGTGAGACCAAAGACAAAGTTCAGAACTCCTCATCCTTGACCTCAGATTAGGATGTGTGCAGTGGATGCCTTGGGTTTCCCACATGTCAGGATTAAACAGAAGGCAGTCAGAATGAACTTGTGATGCTAGAGACGCCTGGGAGAGGGGCTGATGAGGTACAGCTTTGCACACATCTGGCTGGCCAGCTCTTATGGAGCCCGGGCTTTGAGGGTGTGCTCCTGAGACGGTGCGGGGTGTGGGGGTACTCGTGTGTAGTGATGCACACTCATGCAAACCTGCCTGTGCAGGCAATGCACGTGCGAAAGTGGGACCTTTAAAGGGGGCAGCTGTGCATGAAAGGGGTGGTGCGTGATGGGGGAGACACTGATGATTTCAGGAGCCATTTTCCTGGCCAGAGCTGGAGGTTGAGAAAGAATAAGACATGGAGGGAAAGGCCAGCCATGCTCCTGGATCTCATCTCTCTGTGACTCCATCTCTGTTACAGCTGCCATCAGAGGGCTGTGGGGAGGGAGTGCCAAGAGTGGGGACTTCTGGGGAAAATCCTATGGCTTGCTGCACTTTACTTTGTCCCAGGTTGGAGTCCCTACCCTCCCACCTCTCACCTGATATGCAGTGCTTTCGACTATCTTATGCATGGTTTATTCCTCTGGCTTGGATGACAATACCCATAGTCAATTTCCTATATAACTTTATAGATCAAACGATGCAGTGGCGGGCCTTAGGAGCCCCAGGGTCCAAGGGTGCCTCTGGGAGGCACAGATGTGCACACACCCTGCACTGACTCGTGTTCAAGCACAGAATGGACGTGATCAGACTGTCTTGCCTCTACAACATGTTTTGCATTATAGAATTATATTTAGCTTTGCCTTGGATGAAATAAAAATTATATTTAATACTTGGGGTTTGGAGTTTCCATTTTTGACTAATTAAGAATTGGGTTCCTGTTTTCTTTCTTTTTTCTTTTTCTTTTTTTTTTGTACTGGGGATTCAACCCAGGGGCTCTTAACCACTGAGCCACATCCCCAGCCCTTTTTAAAATATTTTATTTAGAGACAGGCTCTCTCTGAGTTGCTTAGAGCCTTGCTTAGTTGCTGAGGCTGGCTTTGAACTCACGATCCTCCTGCTTCAGCCTCCTGAGCCACCAGGATTACAGGGGTGTGCCACCACACCTAGCCTGTTTTATTTCTTGCCAGCTGTAATTAGGAAGATCACCTTCTCCGAGCCTCAGTCTGCTTATGTCTAAAACATTACCTGTCTAGGTGAGATAACACATGTAAAAGGCCTAGGGTTTCTGGCGTATTCACAGACATTCACGTTGTTTTAGTTCTGGTACTTTCTCTGCAGAAGCTGGAAAGTTGTCCTTCTCATATTGGACTTGATGCCAGGGCCCTCCCTGTGTGCTGATGCATCTACTACCACCAAATGCCACAACACCCTCTTTCCCAGGCTCCTCTCCCCTCACCAAGTTTAGCATTTGCCTCCAGGTAGAATCTGCTGCAAATGAACACCTGCCTTCAGAAAGGAATTTCTAGCTGCTGGGCGTAAGTCCAGACTGGGAAGGAGCTAGGGGTGCAGTAAGCTCCCTTATATGCAATGGTTGTGTTCCAAGATCTCCAGTGGATGCCTGGAATTGCAGGTAGTACAGAATTTTATATATGCTGCATTTTTTGCTATACACACATATACACCTATGGTAAAGTTTAGTGTACCAATAAGAGATTAACAAACACAATAATAAAATGAACAATTATAATGATACTGTAATAAATGTTATATAAATGTGATTCTCTTGAAAGAACCAAGACAAATATTAGTTTTGTTTTGTTTTGGCACTGTAGATTGAACTCTGAAGTCTTGAAAACTGAGCTGCATTCCCAGTGCTTTTTACTTTTTTTGAACTTTGAGATAGGGTCTCTCTAAATTGCTGAGGCTGGCTTTGAGCTTGCAATCCTCCTGTCTCGGCCTCCAGAGTTGCTGCAATCACAAGCATGCACCATTGTGTTTGGCCCAGATATTAGTATTTTCAGACTGCCATTGACATTGGTAACTGAAATCATGGCCAATGAAACTGTGGGTGTTGTTTACATTCTTCTCACTATACCTGAACCCTCTTTTCAATGGATTCACCTCACACTGCATTTCAAAGGGTTTTCCATATGCTATATTCTCAAAACTTCTCATTAAAAGACTCTTCTTATGTCAAGGAACCTAGGAAGGCAGAAGGTGCTGAGGTCCTTGATTTCAGCCACTGTCATTGACAAAGCTGCCTTCTCCAGCTCTCAGCTGGAGTAACGGTGCTCTGAGCCCCACCCCACCCCCCACATGGGCTTATCACCAGGATTTCCTGTGCTGCCACTCACCTGTCTGCAGGAGCTCCTTGTTGCCTGGGACCTCCTATCACCTACTTATCAGCAATATACCTGTTTGATATTGAGGGTTCCTGGGCTGAGCCTGAATTCACAACACTCTTGTGATGCTGTGCATTGAATGTGAAGTTACTCCTGTAAGGATCAGTCCCAGGGACTGGTCACACCCCTATTACCACTGTGTCATCCAGTAGTCACAGCAGACAGGTGACCCAATGTCTCTGAACCAAATTAGGAACTGGGAATGGCCTGAGCAAACCTGGACATGGGGTCACTCTGTTTATTAAGCCCCTTGCCAGCTCCATGTAGACTCAACCCGGATCAAAGCACATGTAACTTCAGGGCTGGGGCTGTGGCTCAGGGGTAGAGCGCTCGCCTAGCACGTTGCAAGGCCCTGGGTTCAATTCTC